CTAGCCTGCATGCATGTCTGTGATTAATGATTACCGGCAGGAACAGGAACTGGAACAAGGTGGAGGGAATTCAACTGGTGGTGTTTCAGATGTGGTCTGTCTTTCAGATGATGACTGAGTGATAAAAAAAAGATGGTGGAATATTAATTATTATTATTATTATCATTATTATTATTATTATTATTGTAATTTTTGGGGATCTGAAGGTATAGATACTCGTATATAACATAACAGATTTGTAGGTCCTGGGGAAATATTTGTATTTGTCAGTTGTGAACGTAATTGGGCTGGAAAGGCCCAAAATGATAGTAAATAGAACTATTGTTGGGCCTACATGTATGAAAAAAAGCCCAGAAAAGGAACAATGATTCAAACCTTACTCCAAACTCGCGGAAACAGACAGGCGCCGACGAGAATCAGGGGAGACAAAAATGGCGGCGAAACCTGGAGGTGTTCCGACGACGTATTCGCCGAAACCGAGGACCCGCAAAGTTCGTCATCGCGTCTTCAAGGATTCGGATCTCGATTGGGTCCGACCTGACGGCCGCGGGTTCCATCAGTGCCGACCTGCCTGTACAAACTCCTGGTTTCCTCTAAACCTCTTTTTTTCATTCGCTGAGAACAAGTTTGAATACTTCGTTGGGATTTGTTGTTTCGGAATCGATTCTGATGTTAGGGTTCTTGCTAATGGGGGAAGCAATCATGGGTTCAGTAGTTGCTTTCATTTTTTTGTGTTTGTGTGTGTGTTTGCTTTTGAACTGTGAAAGCTTTTCTTCTTTTCTTGTTTCCCCCTAGATGTCGTTAGTCACATTTTTAGATGCTGTCAATTTAGTGTTTATTTCGTGAAGCTAATGGGATGCTAAAATTATCCTGATGATGTATGTATATGCTATGTATATTGACGGAGGAATGATGGAATTCAATCTCAATGCGACTATGTTCAACTTCAAACTGTGAAATTAGGGTTCTTTTCCCCTTTAAATTTAGTTTATGGGTTGATGAGTATTCTTGAATTTTAAAAAATTTGAATCCATTTTCTTTGGGTTTTGAATATTTTTGCAGTACTTCAAACTGGTGCTGTGAGTTCCGCTTCTGGTTCCGCTTATGCCGAGTTTGGGAACACTAAAGTTATTGTATCAGTGTGAGTAATTCATGCAGCATCTAATTTCTGGAATTGTTTTTATTACTATCTTGCATGCTAATTCAGTTCTTGTTTTGTAACTTGTTCTTGTGTAACTTAGTTTTGGACCGAGAGAGAGTAAGAAAGCGATGATGTATAGCGATGTCGGTAGATTAAATTGCAATGTGAGCTACACAACTTTCGCCTCCCCATCTCTCAGTCAGGTAATGCGGGTTTTATTGCTCGTGTGAATCTCCAACTCGAACTCTTTGCTGTCATTCTTTTTGTTAATGTGTCCTGTTTTTGTTTTCTTCAGGGCAATGACCACAAAGAATACTCATCGATGCTTCATAAAGCTTTGGAAGGCGTAATAATATTGGAGACATTCCCGAAGACAACGGTTGATGTTTTTGCGTTAGTGCTCGAATCTGGAGGCAGTACGTTTCGCTTGTCTATTTCCTGTCCTTTAGTCGAAAAAGTTATTTTCTAACTCTTCCATTAAAAAAAAAACACAAAATTTTCACACGGTTGATATATCCAGGCAAGACCAAGATAAGAGTACTTTTACCCGATCTTGTGGGGTTTTTTAAATTCACATGCATCTTCAGAATTGAATCTGGAAAAAAAAAACTGCAGTGTTAGTTTGGGTGCACCATACCTTCTCATATGGGCATTGTGTTGCAGGTGATCTTCCCGTCGTGATATCGTGTGCTAGTCTTGCCTTAGCAGATGCCGGGATCATGATGTATGACCTTATCACTGCTGTCTCAGTGGTATGTATACTGCAAAGATTTGCCCAAGTCTTCTGCTTCGTCACTTAGAGAACCGAGCACTTGATGAACAAACTTGGAATATCACAAGAAAGCCGTGTGACTGATTCAATCTATCGTTCTTTGGATACAGTATCTGTTAACTTTTTCTTGGTTTTTTTTTATGCTGACAAGAAAACCTTTCCTTTGACTTAGTCATGTATAGGTAAACACCTGACCATAGACCCGGTTTCAGAAGAGGAAAGCTACCAAGACGGAAGCTTTATGATTACATGCATGCCATCACGGTACGAGGTCACTCAACTAACCATTACCGGTGAATGGGCAACTCCTAAAATCAACGAGGTAGCGGGGAAATCTCGTTGTTCAATACTATCTTTGTGAGGAAACTTATTATAATCTTGAAAATGAGAGAAGTCCAACATGGTACGAAAGGAAAAGAGATGGGTACTTATGAAAAGTTTCGGAAGTTGAGGATCGTCGGAATCAGTGGAGAAACCTCTTGGGTTTTAGTACAAGAGCAATCGAAGAATCTAATCTGGTGATGTTTGATAATGTTGCAGGCAATGCAGCTATGTTTGGATGCATGTTCCAAGCTCGGAGAGATCATGAGGGATTGTCTGAAACATGCAGCCTCTGCCTCCCTCGAATGATCTCAATCTTGAAAGAAACGGCATATAATCTTGAGTTCTTGATGGTGAAATTGATCAGTTTATTGGTTTCCGGTGATTAGGGTTTTCTCCAAATTGGTGAACTGTGGTTTTAGACCAATGTAGTGTTACTGTCAGAAGAAGGAATGAGTTTTTTCAGATCTTGATTCATTGTGTTTATATGTATCATGTATATATACATAAGCTTATGCATCATTATTATGGGTCATGAGGTAAGTGGGCCCACAACATAGAAAGCCCATGGGCCGAAAATTGCGAGAGCAATTATATATAAATGTCATGTGATTTTAGAATTTACAGAAACTGGAGTTAGCGTTGTATATGGATTTAAAAAATATTATTATTTTTTATAATATTGAAGTATGAGCTCTAATCGAAAAGTTGATGCATCTTCATCTTCTTATAATATTTTATTAGATTCAATGTATTGTATTTGCATGGACTGATGACGTCGATACTTAGCAGAGATTGATCATTTGGTTCGATTACATAAATTATACATTTAAACCTCTAAATATTTTTTGGATATTTTGAATCGTCACAGATCGACTAATCACCACGAGGAGATGCAATATATATATATATATATATATATATATATATATTAGTTTCAATTTATCTCTAGAATTTTTATATTAAGACGGTTATTGGGAATAAAAGGCGGCATAAAAATCAAAACAGAATATATATTAAAAAATAAATGAAAATTAAGGAAATATGATATGATACCTTTTGTGGTTGGGAAGAAATGGGAAAGAATAAAAGATTATATATACAAAATAAGTGTATTATTTCACTTTTAGCGGCCCATAAATTTTGACCAAATCCAAAAAAAAAATCAATTAATCCTTTTATATATATATAATGATTTATATTGTCTCTGTTAATATGCTTTCGGTTCTTACCTGTCGGAGTCAAAGGCTTCTGCTTTGTGTGTGTTGCCTTTCATCTACACTACGAATTACAAAAGGGACTATTTACCTGTGTGTCTTTTGCAGTTATTTTCTGCATTTAGAACCCTTTTGAAGAATTTTAATCGAAAATGTGTACAAAAAGTTATTCGAAATTACATACATCAATTCAGTGGTAATTATTATGGATTGACGTTTTTTAAAAATTTTAATATAGATAATTATAACCAGATATTATCTATTATAAATAACCATTTCTTTCCCAACATGAACTTTAACTTTTGGAAAAGATTGTCTGGTTCGGTCGGAATGCAACCGAATACATTAAATCTAGGGCGAGTATTTTCTATTTTATACGTACGTATACATATAATAATAACAATGATAATAATTTTATTTTTATTTTTTCTTGCCCAATATGTACACAGGTAAAATAAAAATAAAAATAAAAAGCTTTATTTTATCGGACCGAATAATTTTATTAGACAATATATAATCTCCGGTGTAAATTTACAATAAAACAAAAAAAAAAAGTTTATAGCTTACGTGGAATCTACAATAGTTTTCATTCGCGAAGTGGGGCTCACAAGAGAGTATGAAGTTAGTGGGCCCCACTTTTCCGTGGATGTGGGCTGACGAATATTGTTGGGTCCACTTTGCCCCGATCTTTTTATGTCTCGGTTAACACCACACCAAACAAATTAAACACCAATTTTAAAACAAATTTAATCCGAATATATATATATATATATAGAGTTAGTGTGGTTACTTTGCAGACTAAACTTATATTTAAATTTTAGTTGGTTTTAGTAATTATCTCGGTGATTTATCATTACTATGCAGTAATAGCGTTTCTATTATATATAATAATAATAAGTTTAAATGTGGAATAGAATTATCATGGATTATGGTAAATTTACAAATTTCTCAACAATCATAATTAGTTCCGAATAATTAGGAAGGACATTACGAAAGCACATAGGATGAAAATGTTAACAAAAAGTGCAAACAGAATAATTATTATGTTACAGAAACAAAGCCAAGTTTACCGAGTCAAATTTGACGAACAGAGCGAACGAAATTTGGCAACGTAAGATGCCGACTCATCATCCCATCCCATGGATTTTTTAAAACTTTAGTTTATATTATTTAAATTTTAGATTTTTTTTAAAAAAAATGAGTCAAAAAAACATATATAATTAAGATAAACATGGTGTGGACAAGTGCGAGACACTTGTCATCTACTGGTTGCGTACTTTATATACATACATATATAATACACACATTTATAACATGATTCGAATCGATTAGGAATATTATTGGAATCCTTTGTGGGGATTAAATAGTAAATATCAATTATTATTATTATTATTATTTTATCTAAATATTAGAAAGAAAAAAAAATTTACCATAAAATCAATAAACTTGGTACTTTTCATTGTAGACGTAATTATCGTTACGATTTGTCGCAAAACAAAGAAGGGGACAACTCTTTCTAGTTTTAGCGCAACACGAACTTATCATCTCATCTTCTCGTGTTTGTTTTGTTCCTCTCTTTATGGAATAATCCACGTGGATTTATCTCCCTTTAATTTGCGATACAAAGTTTGATATTTATATATTAGTATAATGGTTAGACCGAAAAATAAATAAATACACAAATACCACTGTGCATGTCGAAAATATTTGTTGCATTGTGTCTCACGTAAATAGCTAAGAAGCTAATTAGTTAAATATTTTAATACAATTTCGATTTCATGGTTATAAAAGCAACCAAATTTCAAACAAGTTCTTCAAGAGGATTAAAAAATGATTTTTTTTTCACAATTATAATTACTAGCTATGATTGAGAAAACTATTTTAGCTTCCAAAAAGGTAATTCAAACGTTAATAAATAAATAAATAGCGACAGTCAAAAATCATTTCACGTAACTTTTTGAACTTCGAAAGAGGTTTTTGTTTTGGTTTGAATCTTTTTAACTGTCAAAAGTTTGTTAGTTTGAAAATATTACAAAGTACGCAAAATGAGAATATTCGTTATAATGACGAAAAGAATATTTTAAAAAAAAAGATTACAAGCTTTATTTTCGGTCCAAAGTTTTAAATTATCACATGGCGTGGCTTTGACTTTTCCACCCCGTTGAAAATTTGGCATTCAGTCTTAGTGCCTTTCCACATGCAAATGCACTGAATTTCTTCTTTTCTTTTTCTTTTAATCTTTTTTGTCGTCTCTTATATTATGAATTTTGCCGTTAAAATAAAATTATTAATTGATTCCATGAGAATTAAAATTTCCGATTTGTATGCTAGATTCTTAAACCTATGATGAGTTAATACCCAACTTTAATATATTATTTATACCCAAAAAAGCTTTAATATATTATGTCATTTTTTAAATAATACGAATAGAATAAATTGAAAAGATGGAAAAGCGGAAAATGACGTATGCCGTCAGAAAACAACTCGACATAAATTCTTGAAGGACAAAGCCCAAAGTCGGTGGTCTCATGGTTATAAGTTATATAAGTTTATTGATTATTTTACCAAAAAAAATAAATTTTATTGAATAATTCTCACTACTATACACACACTCACATATACTATTGTTTTTATATTATTTTTTGGTAAAGGCAAAAAAATTACGTCAAAAGCTGGAAACCAGACATCATTGATAGTTATCCTCCATTTCGCATTGTTTTTCTTTTTTCGGATAACCATTTGGCCATGTTTTCCATTATGCGTGTGTATATATGTGTATCGATGGACGATATTTTATAATTGTAATTTTATGTCGCGTAAAAAAAACAATCTCTTAGATATTTAGGTTCGAATAGGTAAATTTGAATATACTTGTATATATGGTTTTATTTTGGGTTTGGGTTTAAGTAAACATGAAGAATTTACGTAGCCTGCATGCATGTCTGTGATTAATGATTACCGTAAGTTTTAATTTTAACTTCCGAATAAGATGGTCAAATGAAAGCAAACGTCCAATGCATTAACAAAGTAAAAAAGAAGGAAAGAAGCTTTCAAGAGTAGTAATAATGAGAACCTTAGACTGAGAAATTAATTAATTGCACAACTAGAGAGATACAAAGGAAAAAGAATTTATCGATTTAGTTAAAAAAAAATTATTAAAATTTACTGTCATTGATTAATAAAAAAAACGTACTAATTTACTGATGGGATCTTCAAGCAAATAAAACACAATAGTGTACAAAAAAAAGTGATAAAAATGCAATTGGTTAGTAAAAATGTAATTAATTAATTTGAATAGTGTTTTGGATCAAAATAAAACACAATAATGTGAAAAAAAAAGGGGATGATGACATTCGTTGATTTGATGCTAATATGTCCGCATGATACATCGCATCCGTCTGTCACCGTGGGTTTCGAACTCCGCCCTCGACATTCGGTTCGTAAATTTCCAGCTATTTAAAATTTATTTAAAATATCCAATAAAGATTTTATCTATTTATAATTGGTTTATGCATGATGATTGTTCATTGTATATTGTCGAAATTAAAAGGAAACGATGGTGGACGGAGTTCAGAATTCGATAAAGACAAGGACTGAGACGAAGAAGCAGTAGAAAAAATTATTGGGTAAAAATTATTCAAAACGAAATTTAAAATGGAAGAAAATTAACATTTCGTTTTAAAACAAGATGGATTAGGAAAACAAAACGATAATTAAGTTTCATAACTGTGGGTGTTTATAATTATCCATTACTATTTTTGCATATGTTAATATCCTTAAATATCTATATACATGTAGATATATATAGACATACAATAGCGTGGATTTAGAAAAATTTATAAGATGAGTCAATAATTTTATACATATAGTTTTATAGAGATAAATTTTATTAATTGTCATGGGGGTATTTTGACAGTTTTATTTATAATTTTAAAGCTTAATGTAAAATAATATAACGTCACAAATTGTCCGGATGTAAAGTAACGACGTTGCATTATAGTACAATTCGTGATAAGGATGAAAAAGGTCCATTTCCTTCGCATGATATATTATTATTCAGAATGAAATGTAGAGAAATGAAAACCATCAATTAATAATGATATATTGTATTCAAAAGAATCTTAGTACTAAAGCCAATGGTCTTTTTTCTCTTATAAATACAAGCGAATAATAAATGAATTCATTTCAATATTCCGTGGCCAAGAATAATGGATACGAGGGATGAATGTAACCAAAAAAGAAAAACAAAAGACACTCCAA